CATCACATGAAAATTAATGTGGTGGTCCCACCATCACATGGTGTGGGACCACATACAACATAATAGTTACTCATTGGAGGCTTAATATACTGATACAATATTTAACATGGTTCGACAAACCACATATATCTACGAGAGAGACTAATATTATTAGAGATAGATATAGAAAGGGTTACAACACAAATGCATAAAGGAAAAGGATCACTTCACTCAAACTCAACTGTCATTGCTTTCATACAATGCTGCACATGGCAATAGAGCTGCTGTTCTTGGCATCTTCTCTTTTTCTCTTCTTCTCTTCTCTTCACTCTCTTATTTTTCTAGCTCTCAAATAATATTTCTATTTATAAACAATTTAATAATAGATAAGAGGCCATAAATTATTAAATAAATGATGATAGTTGCAGCATTTTGTCAATGATTGGTGCAACTATTATTGTAACATTTTAACAATGGTAATTTTTTTTTTAGGATAAACTACAAACGTTGTTGTCCATTCAATTACAATATCCCAACATTCCTTAAAGTCAATTACTGGATGTATTTGGTTGAGAAAATAAACTGTTTAAAAAATGAAATTAACAAAGAAAGTTAGTGATCCTGTCGTAAAATCTCATAACCCTTATATAAATTAATGTCAGTGACATATAGACACACACCACAGTCAGATTTGTGGTGATAGTTTGTGTAATAAAGTTAACTAAATAGAATAAAAAACATATATATATATTGATTATCATTCCTTGTAATAAACAAAATATATGAGAGATTTATTAATCACATCAAAAATATGATTTAACAACAAATTAAAGAATACAAAAACTCAAATGAGTAAAAAAAATTAACTTACTAACAAAACTTAACCCACAATCATGAACATGCATAATAAACCCTTAATAAAAGAGATTAAACAAGTAAATTAAGTCATATTTTCTAATAACTCTTTGCTAACCAAGTGATTTGAAACATTTTTTTTTATGAATATATTCAAAACACATAGAAAAAAAACATATTACATGCATTCAAAATATTATTTAATTTAATTTGCAAGCACCCGGCTGCCTAACATTATTTCTTTTAATCCAAATAATATCATTGTAAGAATCTGACTCGTAGAAGCATGGCAACAATCCATATTCAAAAGCATATATTTATAAAGTGCCAAAACACCAACTTCATTACAATATTCTATATTACCTATAAAACAATAAAAAAATACAAAGAAATCTCCCTTTCATAGTATACGAAGATATCACCAATTTTAAATGTCTTGGTTTGCTATTTATTCTATTTTATCTTCATAATATATGGAGATAACTAAGAAAAATCACTTTTTATATTTGTCTTCTTAATTGATCCCATTCTATTTTATTTTTCTCATTAAAAATCACATTGTTACACTTTTTTTTTCATAGATTTTTTCTTCTCAAATTTGAATAGTTTAAATTCATTCATTATATTATTTTAAACCAATAATTGCTTGATAATATTTTAAATTGATCCCATTATATATTTAGCATCCGAATATTCAGTTCTTTCATACACTCCATTCTTTGCAATAAGGAAATTGAACTTTTTCTTTACGAAAGAAATTGAAGAACTCTAAATTATTAATTTGCAACCGCACATTCTTTGTACACTTAACAATCTAAGTAAATACATCAACGAAAAATCCCCATTGTTTTCAATCAAATCTTGTTTCCTTCATAACAAGTTATTTATGGTAGTAATGCATATATTATAATAACATCTAAAAACCATTCTGTTTAAAGTCTTCAACCCATTTCCCACGGCTCCCTTAGTCACTGTCTCTGCCATTAGAAAGATAAGATGATTGCCGTGGTAATTGTTATCTTCCGAGTAAGTTAAACGCTCAAGCCAACTTGGCTGACAGACCATATCACAAGTTTGCAATATATATAATAAAACAAGACAAAAACTTAGTTAGACTTGGAATGCGAGAGAAAGTAATGCAAAAGGCCATAGAAGATGGAAGTATGTTTATTTTTATGTTTTAAAAATATTTTTTAAAAAATTAAAAAATATATTTTTTAAAAAATTAATTATTTTTTATTTTTTTCACTTTAAGTTAATATTTTTTTTTGTTTTTAGATCATTTTGATGTGCTGATATTAAAAATAATTTTTAAAAAATAAAAAAAAATAATTTTGATATATTTTTAAATGAAAAACACTTTGAAAAACAATTACAATTATATTTCTAAACTGCTTGAAATTTGACTTGGGAAAATTACTTTAGCAGTAACAGGAATAATAATAATAATAATAATAATTTTGCATTTTTTTTTAAAAAAATATTTACATTCTTTACACTGAAAAAAATTAATTGACACGTCAATGAAAAGTCCCCATTGTTTTTTCAATCAAATTTGGTTTTCTTCAAAATGAATTATTTGTGATAGTAATGTTTGAAAATTTGTTTAAGGATATGTTTTTTTTTTTTTGATTTGTTAATAATCGAGGTTATTTTATTAAATGTTAGAAATTATAGATGCACGGACCTAGGGTGACCTAGGAGGATGATTTTAAGATTTAAAACCCCATCAACCTATCCACCAAAAAATCTACTGCCCCACATAAAATAAATATTTTTATGTGCTAGTAAATTAAATCTAAATTAAAGAAAAGATATAAAACAATCAGGTTTTATTAGCTCCTTAAAACTATGATAATAGAAGATTTGACAGTTGGATAAACTCAAATTTGGCAATGGACCATTAAGAAGACCTACTTGAATGTGATTATGCACTATTGAATTCCCACTACATTTAAGCAAATTAAAAAGGGCATTGTAATTTAGGGTTCTTTCTTAGCTATGTGATGATGGCCTGTGTTCGACACAAGGCACGATGGTATTTTCAAATCATCAAATGATCACTCCGGCATGGGACATGGTGTTTCATGATACTGCATAGCTTAGTCACTGATACTGTAATGTCATAAATTTATCACCACACACATATTCCCACCGAAAGCAGTATCCTTAGAGATATATTTGGTGCAACATCTTGAATAAAGAAACAGATGGACTCGTGCAGCTACCATTACAGCTTACTTATGGTGAGCTCATCCTCAACAAAAGGACGTGTTTTTACCAGCCATGTCAACTAAATTCATTTTCAGAGCATGGAAACTTAAGGTTTGTAACGCCAACAGTTGGAATTTTGGAAACTTTGCTGTTTTCGTTTAGAGATTGAGGCAGCTCTGCCTTTGCCCAAAATCATTAAAGATATTAGGTGATTCTATCGATGGATGTACTTGCTATTTATTTGAACAGCGTTAACCAAACAAAAGGGGGGTTTCTGTATAAACTCAGCCAACAAAACCGAGAGATGATGGCAATGAAGTAATTCATGCGGCAAAACATAAAATTTGTTGGAGCAAAGATGGGGATGATTTCATAGGCAATTGCACAATTCAAGAACCTATCAACTGCATGATATAGAAAGCCTGCCAAAAGATCAAGATCCATAAATGATCCAGTTACCTAAGCTACAGACACTGATTGGTTTACATCTAATTAGCTCGAGCAAAAGGAGAGAGGAGACATACCGACAAATTCCAAAACATAGTTCAGTGCAATTAATGCATCTCTTTGAGCTAAACTATTTAATAGCTCTACCCTATCTCATGCAGAAACAGAAACAGAAACAGGAGCGGGCTAGCATTGTCAAGGCAAATTCTTGCAAGTTATTTCAGAGTAACGGCTGCATTTCTCAATGCCAGATACCTTTGCACATGCTCATTTGGAAGTGATCTCACGAGTTTGAAGACATCAGTATTTGCATAACGGAGGTTGGTCCTTGGGTCATGGTAAGGCGCCTGCAGAAGAAGTTCACTATGTATAAGAGGTTCTGTAAAGAGATTGGTATACTTTCCATATTGTTTCAGATAGCATTCAAGATTGTAGGAGTTAATCATTGCATGTTCAATCTGTATTTTATGGGATGAATGGAATTGAAAATATATGGTGTCTAAGTGTCAAGCTAATCAAGAACAGAGGATAGCTAGGCTCTTTACTTTTCAATTTCATATATCAACATAAACATTTAACAAGGTCAGCACAATCTCGAGCGCCATGCTCAATCTTGAACAATCTAAACTTCAGCATCATGGCTTCTTCCAGCTAAACAAAAGCAAATGTATTCGGAATCCAGTTGTAGGACATCCCAGGGCGCCTTCAAAGATGCGCACCATGCACATTTGCTTCATCAAAGTTGCAAGATTACATGTTAAATCTGGTCAAACAAATCTAACTTTGAGTATTTTTCCCAACCACTAACTTCCAGTTTTCACATTTCTAACAAGCAATAGAGTACTAGGATGTCATTCATCCTCAGAAATATTGCTTACAAATATGACACCACATGTAAATGACATAAGAAAGAATATTGCCAAGCAGGAAACAGGAACCAGTTCTTAGTTTGAGTTATGTAATTGTTGGAACTCTACCTCCATCCTCAATTTCATCAAGACAATAAGCTTGTACAGATGTAAACAAGCTCAAGCTCAACCAAATTATATGTGATGAACTCAAAAACTAAGAGACGGAGTAGCTCAACTGACTAACGGAGTAGCTCAACCAAATTATGGCAATGCATAATCTGCAGAATGATGGACAGCTCATAATAATCTTCTCACTCTAAAAGAAAGTTGATGAGGTACTTAGACGATGCAAATTGATCGGAAAGCCTCCAAGTTACAGGATTATATTTAGGTTAGATGAAGCCAAACAAATCTAGCCTTCAATTGTTTTTTCTCAACCAATAGTTTGTAGTGTCCAAAGTTGAACTGGCAATAGTAAAACCAAGTTATTTATCTTCAGCAACCAATAAGTTCATGATATTCAAAACCAAAAAATGATTCACCATGCAACTAACAAAAAAAATGCCATGGCCAATTAAGTCAAGTAAAAGAAACCAGTGCTCTATTTAATTCAGGAATTTTTGAAACTTTAGTCCTCAATTCCACTGAACAAGCTAAAGAACATATGATTGTAGAAAAGCTTAAGCTCAGCCAAACCATACACAAGTTCAATGACAGCAGGTGTATCTTAGCTGAATAGCAGAGAATGAATAAAATGCAGATTATCATTAACAGCTGATGATTCTCTCTCAATTAGAGACCACCAAATAATCAACAAGCAAGGTTCTGACGCACAAAATAGTTGTTCCTCCCGACCCTCAAAATAAAAGGACTTCAGAAGGATATGATCCAACTGATGAAAATAACCAGTGATGACACTCAAAGATATTTCTAAATTTACCAGATATTTCTAAATTTTGATACATTAAAATTTAAATCTAATGCCAGTGATTGACTCATTCATTCATGATCTGATTTATAAGACAATTTCAAGTTGGCCACATTATTCACAAATGAGCAAGAAATGACGATGAATTTCATCTGCCAGTTCAAGCACTAAACACATCTCAACAGAAACACATACCTCGAATCCTGTAATATCGCATATTCTCAAAGGTGGGTGCATGGAGGGTGGTGACTCAATATTAACATCTGCAAGAGGGGAAAAAAAACAGCAAAGGTAATTTAACCTCTTATCAAACCTAACCTAATATCAATAAAAAAAAAAAAAAACAACCATCTGCAGAAACGTATTAAAGAATACAGCTTAATCCAAGCAATTAATTGTTGAACAATGGGCAGAACACAAGAATCTTCTATAAAACCCCCCGGTGCTACCATTGTACAAAATAATCACCATTACATTTTCCCTTCAAATTTCACTTTTTGTGGGCCCAGGAACCCACAAATACTGAAACAATGGAATGCTAATGCAATAAATAATGGCTTCCCTTTCTTCATCTAAAAAAATCACCAAAGGATAACTTTTTCAGCTATATATCAAACAAATCACAACCAGACGTCAAATTAAAGTAAGGAAAAAAAATAAAAAGAGAAGCTAGGAAATGGCGGAGGTTGTTCTTAAACGAGGAGCTTACAGTTGGGTTCATCTGGAGGGCAATTCTGATAATTTTCTGCTTGAAGAATCTGCTTAAGGTGTTTCCAACGGCCTCTTGGTTGTCCCTTTGGGTATTTCTCATATATCTGTATCCTCTTGAAACTGAAGTGTGTTGGCAACACCAGCTCTGCATTTATCAACTCTGCTTCCATCTTCTTCCTCTCTTCCTCTTCTATATCTAAAAAGCAAAAATACCACTCAATTCAATGATTTATCCCTTATAGATCAAATTTAAAAGAATAGAAACTACATAAAAAAGAGTACAAATTTAAAGAAAAGAAAAATAATCTATGATTATAAATATAAAAAACTGAAAAAGAGTATAAAAACAATTAAAAAAAACAGGAATTTCATCCGAAACCCAACAAAAAGAATGGGCAAACGAACCTCTGAGTTCAGAATCCCCTGCTGCTCGAACTGGGCACAACAGTAAACGGACAAATAATCTCCACTTTATATAGTCATAGAAAATCTCAATTTAGTAACCGACGATGAACTGATTTTCGATTTAGATCCCAAACTATCAATGCTTTCAATTAGGTCCCTAATGCAACAGCAAAGTGTCGAATTTTGCTTAAAGCAGGGTTAATTTATTACACAACGAGTTAGATTTCCAAGCCAGTTTTCTTGAGTTCCACCTTTTCTTAATTTTAATTTTAATTACTTGAGTTTTCGTTTAAAAATATTTAATATATAGTGTGATAGGGCTACAATATTAAGCCCAAATAATAGGAGTAAAAGAAAGCCCAACCAGACAGCAAAGAAAGAATAAAAAAAGAGAGCCCAATAAAGAAATGAAGGAAAAGAAAAGGCCCAACCGGAGAGGAGAAGGGCAATGTCAAGGAGAATAACCTTGGGCTCAAAACCAAGCCCAACAAACCTCGAAATTGAAAAGTAAGCCCAATCGAGGAAGAGAGCCCAATAAAGCCGACGAACCCATCGAACCTCTTTGTTTCCCTCCAATATGACAACTCCTTGGGCTTTCTTTTACTCCTAATTTTTTTTAAAAAAATAGATATGACAAGCTAAACGCTTAAACATCTAACTGCAGGATTAAATTAGTTGTTTGATGTTATTTAAAATAGATATTATTCATTCGCTTGTTATGATTGATTTTGTTTCATATACAGGAAGGATGGCTTTTGTCACGGGGTTAAATTTTTCGCAACACAATTCAATCCAATGCGGCAGTCTAGTCCCAACTAAACTCAGCCTTGCCTCCCCTTTTCGCTCGTGTTTCCTACGACTATGTGTTTCGCTCACCCAACGAAGTTTCCACAATTGCCAAGTCGTATAAAAGGAACAAACACAAGCAAGCACACAAGTTTACAAGAATACCTCTCAACCTTTATTTATCTCATCAACAAAGGATTACACAATACAAGTGTGTGTGCTATGCACAAAATCGCATGCTACACAGCAGAGGCTTGGCAGCCTATTTATAGACAAGTGTGAGTTGCTAGGCTCACCCATAATCCCTATTTTTCATGCCATAATGGGGCACTTACTCCCCATGATCTCCATGATCTCTCATTTTCAGGGCATAGTGGAGCACTCGCTCTCCCATTAACTTAGTGGCTTACATAGTGGAGCACTTCCTTCCCCACTCAGCTGCCACTTCCCCACATTTTGCCCCAATGATACAGCCATATTCTGCCTATCCGCATGGCAGTCCCTACTGCCTATTCTGCTGCGTCAGCTGCTGACTTAGAAGGTCCATCACCTAAGCCCCCACGTCCATGCCAAGTCGCAAGCTCAACGACTCGCATAGACCATTGCACGCTGCCTGCCGAATTCGTTTCTGCCTATGCAAGGCTGCCGCTGTCCATCGCTGCCGAATTCTAAGCAATGTGCCTTCGTTGGCGCATCCCCGCGCCTAGAGCCTTAACAAACCACCCCCACTAGAAGAGTCCGACGTCCTCGTCGGAATAGATGTGAGGTAGTTTTGCACTTGATCCTCAAATTGCCACAAATCTGTGTCCTTCTCCCACGAAACCTCTTCATTCGTCTTCCATTTCACTAAGAATTCTGTCCGCCGATTCTTTTTGTGTTGGCCAAGTCGACGATGATCCATAATCTTGACGATACCATCGTCAAATTGCTTGTGAATCGTAGGAGGGGCTCGTTGCGACTTACTTCTTTTAGGATCCTCATTATCTTCATAAAATGGCCGTAAGTAACTTACATGAAAAGTGGGATGAAGCTTCAGCCGTTCGGGCAGCTTCAATCTATAGGCAACAGCCCCAACCTTTTCAATGACTTCAAAAGGCCCATCATATCTTGGCACCAACCCTCGGTGCTTTGACGTCCCCACAATTTTCTTCCAAATTTGAGGAGTTAACTTGAGCAACACCTTGTCACCCACACTGAATTCCAGCATCCTTCGCTTTTGATTTGCATATTTGAGCATCCGCTTCCTGGCCTTTCGCAAACTATCTTGAGCTTGCTCAACCAGCTCCTGTCGCTCCATCGCAAATCTGTATGCCGCTGGACTCTTCCCACCAGATATCTGCACTGCAATCTCGGCAGGAGTTTGGGGTTGTGCCCCCAAAACCAGCTCAAATGGACTTGCTTCCGTTGCCGAGGATTTTTGAAGATTATAGCAAAACTGCGCACTATCTAGCAACTCCAACCAGTTTCGCTGCATTGTTGTCACGTAGTGTCTCAAATATTCCTCTAGCAAAGCATTTATCCTTTCCGTCTGCCCATCAGTCTGCGGATGGTTGGCAGTCGAAAACTTCAGCCTTGTTCCCATCATGTTGAACAATGCTGTCCAGAATCTACCCGTGAATCGCACATCGCGATCGCTTACAATGTCTGAGGGTACTCCAAAGTATTTCACCACGTTGCGGTAGAATAAGTCAGCGGCCACTTCGGCTGTACACACCACAGGGGCAGCTACAAACACCGCATACTTGGTGAATCTGTCCACGACAACCATGATCGTGTTCATGCCATCCACCTTTGGAAAGCCAACAATGAAGTCCATCGAAACTGACACCCAAGGCTTCTCTGGAATCGGCAGCGGCTGTAATAAGCCTGCTTCTCGCTGCCGCAAAGTCTTGTCTTGTTGGCACACAAGACAAGTCCTGACGTAAAGTTCTACATCGTCTTCCATCTTCGGCCAATAATAAGTCTGCGACAAGAGAGCAACCATCCTTTCTCTACCTGGATGTCCTGCCCATTGCGGATCATGAGTCTCCGTCATTAAGTGTTTTCGCAGCTCCCCCTTTGGCACAAAGATTCGACCCCCCTTTGCATAGAGTAGGTCTTGTTCCAGCCAATACCTCCGTATTGTCCCCTCTCGTACAAGCTCAACCATTTTCTTGTACGCTACATCTTCCCCAGCAGCTAGACGAAGTCTTCCCAGCATGTCCGACTCCACCTGAACAATAGCAAGAACAGTAGCAATTACCTCGCGTCTGCTGAGTGCATCCGCAACCTGATTATGGCTCCCCGGTTTGTGCTCCCATACAAAGTCATATTCGGCCAAGAATTCCTGCCACCGAGCCTGTCTCTGTGACAATTTCTTCTGTGTCCTGAAAAATGTGTTCGCCACATTATCAGTCTTGACCACAAATTTTGGCCCCAACAGATATACTCTCCATATGCCTAGGCAGTGCACCACTGCCGTCATCTCTTTCTCATGCGTCGAGTAATTCTGTTCCGCATCAGTTAGCTTCCGACTCTCAAAAGCAACTGGATGTCCCTCTTGTACTAGCACTCCCCCAATGGCCCTATCCGAAGCATCCGTATGCACTTCAAATGGCTTCTAGAAATCAGGCAGCCCCAAAACTGGAGCTGACGCTACCGCTGTTTTCAGCTTCTCAAAAGCTAGTTGGCAGTCAATCGTCCATTCCCAACTCCGATTCTTCTTGAGAAGATCCGAGAGAGGAGTTGTTTTCTTGCTATAGCCCTCAATGAATCGTCTGTAGTAGTTTGCAAGCCCCAAAAATGACCTTAATTCCGGGACTGATTTTGGTGCTGTCCATTCAACGATGGCTTGAATCTTCCGTGGATCCATCTTCACCTGTCCTTCACCAATTAAATGGCCTAAGAACATAATTTCATCTCTTGCAAACTCACACTTTTCCCTCTTTACATACAATTCATGTTCTCTCAATCTACTTAAGACTTTAGAGAGATGAGTTACATGTTCTTCAATGCTTCTACTATAGATTACAATGTCATCTAAGTAGACTACAACAAAATTATCTAAGAAATCATATAGCACATCATTCATTAGATTACAAAATGTTGCTGGAGCATTTGTTAGGCCAAATGGCATAACTAGAAACTCGTATGAGCCATACCTCGTCACACAAGTAGTTTTATGCTCATCCCCATCAGCAACCCGCACTTGCCAATACCCCGACCGCAAGTCCAATTTCGTGAAGATAGAGGCTCCGCACAATCTATCCATCAAATCCTGAATTAAAGGGACAGGATATTTGTTTTTGATTGTTACCTTATTGAGTGCTCGGTAGTCCACACACATGCGAAGGCTTCCATCCGCCTTCTTTTGAAACAGCACAGGAGCACCATATGGAGCCTTGGAAGGGCGGATAAATCCCGAGTCAATCAGCTCTTCCAATTGTTTCCTCAGTTCTGCCAATTCCATTGGCGACATTCGATAAGGGGCTTGAGATGGTGGCTTTGTCCCCGGCACCAACTCAATTCGATGGTCGATGTTTCTCCTAGGTGGGAGTTTCTTCGGTAGCTGAGGCGGCATCACATCTTCGAATTGCTGCAGCATGCTAGCAATTTCGTTTGGCACCTCCCCACAATAGTCTGCCTTCTCATCAACTATTGTCGCAAGAAACACTTCCCCTCCCTTCCGCAATGCTTTGTCAAGAGCAATTGCCGAAACCAAGCTCTTCCCCCCTTTCACCGCTTTCACAGCTGTGATATTGCAACATGGGACGAAACATGGGCATCCCTCACTTGCAATCATGACTCCATTGAGATATGGCATCAAAACTATCTTGGCTTTTCGTAAGAAATCTAGACCAAGAATAATATCGTAATCGTCAAGATTTACGACCAACACATCATGCTTACCTCTCCACTGATCCAGTATTATCGGCACATCATAAGACATCCCAGCAATTCTCTGTGCCTTCGAGTTTACTGCCTTCATGGATGTATGGCTATCACTCAGCCGCAAGCCAAGTTCCTTCACCAGCCGATCTGCCACAAACGTGTGGGTTGCTCCTGAATCCAGCATAGCATTCACGTTTTTGCCGTTTATCCCAATCCTCACATACATCAGGTTGTCCGTAGCCCCTGACTTTTCCTTCCGCAATGTATCAATCCTCGCCAAGTCTTCCTCGACAAGGCAAGTTTCGGCAGCCGCATCCCCCGATTCTGCTACCAGGCAGTTTATCACACGCATGGGATTGACATGCGTAACTACCCCCTCATCCTCATCGCTACCCCCAGCCCGGATAGCATTCAGCTTCTCCCGCTTCGGGCATTCCCTCGCAAAGTGAGGTCCATCACAAATGAAGCAACTAAAGTTCGGTTTCGGACTCTTACCTTGTGCACCCATAAACTTGGCCTTGCCCTTCTCTGCGGCAGTAGCCTTCGATGCACCCCCACCGAATTTCTTCTTCATCTTATCCTCCT